TCATTGTTGTTTGGCGGGTCCGGGCTGGGGATTCGAACCCGACAGCTTAGGTGTACGTGGCTGGCGCCTTAGCCGGTTGAGCTATAGGCGCCGAGCCCTCATAGGTTTTTTTAAAAGTACTTGTCTAGATTCTCCGGATTTAACTAGTTTTTAAAGGGGCAAGAAACATCCAGGAACTAACAGAACCTTTGTGTATCAGAGGGGTGCTGTTGAGTCTTCTCAAACAACATTTTGGTAGTTGGAGGCTTTTGTAGTGAGGTTAAGGAATCCTTTTCATAGATGTTTTTGAAGAGAAGAGAAACAGTGGCGTGTTCCATGGTTGAAAATCAAAGCCATTTTTTAAAGCAGAAAATGGTAATTTTAGTTCTCTCTCTCATACTTTCTGTATTTAGTTAAAAAATCTTGCCCTGTACCATGAATTTCTACAGTGTAGTACAAAATCTGTAATCTTTCTGTCCCATGGAGGGATTACCTGAAAAGAAAAAGAATATGCTATTCTTGGCAAGAAAGAGTGGCTGCTGACTCAGGGGTCACATAAAGTCACAACCCTTACGTACTTTTCCAGAGGTTGGTGTGGGGGCATTACCCATTACTTTGGGAACCTGGTTGATTACTTAGGCAGACTGAGTGGAACCAGCCATGGAAGCCATTGCTAGCTTTGGAATTCTATTCTCACAGGAAACCCAGTGGTGTTGGCCTTAGTAGTTATTCCAGTGAACAGAGAGCCAATTGGCTCAGCCACATCAGGAGGTACATTAAAAGTGTCTTCTCTTCCCCTCCCAGATATGTTAGGTTCGATCAGGCAACCATGATGAATAAAATCTTCAAAAAGAGAACAGAAACAATTGCCAGATATTCCTTAACATGTATATATTTTTAAAGACATGATTTGCCTTGAGCTCAATAGTTACTTCCAAAAACTGAAATCAGAATAGAAGATCTTATTCACAACCTCAGTCTTGGCAGCCAAACCCTAAACATGCAGGAAATACAACATAAATGCAGCCAAATTTAGTGCTCAGGCTGTTTGGTCCAGATGACTGCCTACAAGAGCAAACCTCAGCAGAGGCATAGGAGAGCTCTGCTTAGAGGCATTTGGAAATCTTTGGGCCACACTCAAGAATAAAGTGGTTCACCTATTCTAAAATATAAGGAAAAGCAGTACTGGCACTCACAATCTTACAGCCAAACTAATATCTCATTTTTTAAGTATTAAGGAAATATTCCTCTGCATTAACTTTTAGTGGGGTTGGGATTGGACAAAATAGTATAAGAGGCAAAAGTTTATCTTTTGGTAAGGGACATTTTCCCAAGGTTCTTCAGAGGACACTTCATCACTTCCTGTTCTAATGTTTCTTACTTTATTAACTGTAATAAAGCATACTATGTTATACTGTGGTAGCCCTTTTCTTAAGAACATCTCAAAGTAAGGCAACATTTAATAAAGGGCCCGGTCACAGTTTCAGGGTGTTGATTGCCAGCCCAAGCAGGAACAAACCAAATCTGTCCAATAATTCAAAACATATGGAGAAGTTGTGTGTATATCCCTGAAAATAAGGTTTCCACTGATGACCTGAGCTCCTGCTGACAGGGCGGGAAAGCCAACACAGGTGCTGGAAGCTGGGATGGAAAAGACTCAGGAAGGGAAGAGAAGTGGCCATCCTGCTTCCCCTCCCTGGGAACCCTCTCTCTGTTCCATGGGCTGGACAAAAATGTCAGGGTGTGAAGGCAGATTCACTGGGCGGTCCTGACCCTGGCTGGAAAGAGGGCACTGGCAAACACTTGGCTGGGAACAGAAGTGGGGCCAGTGCCAAATGTGGCTGTGGAGGTCCCTGGCCAGGAGAAATTCCTGGAGAACACATTCAGCTCTCCTAACAAAGCTGTTTCCCTTCTCCCTTCCTGCTCACTTCCCTTCAATTATCTCCACCCCAGTGTTCACTCCCTTACTGAGGCCCTTTTCTGTGCCAGGAACTCAGCTGGGGGCTGGGGACCAGACAATAAAAACAAAATCATTTTAAGGAACCCTGCAATCATTTCTGAGGAGCAAAGGCCTAACACACAGAACTGACTGTGGTCCTCAAGGCACAGAATCTGAGTTTGTGTTAAGGCAGGTGAAACTTGAGAACCAGAAACAAGAGACCTGAGCAAGAATGCTACCATAAGGGTATGTAAGACAGTGTAGAACCCTCCCTCTTACCCACACACCAGTGGACAGATGTTGCTGGGAACTAGGTGTCAAAGCAGGGCAATCTAGGGATGAACTTTCTGAGTAAGAACTGTTCAAAGATAAAATGCGATGTGTTGGGGTGTGGTGACTGCTTGCTACTGACGTTGTTGGATAGAGAGCTGGAAAGCCAGCGCATAGGCCAGCATGACAAGGTCCCTTCCAGACCTAGATGTCTCTGAATCCAGAGGGGGCTGGTCCACCACAAGGTGGCAGTTCTGGGTGGCTCAGTCTGATCTGTCTTGAGGATGATGAGGGATGCTGATTAGGGAAGGGTGACAGAAGAGAGCCTGGTGAGGAGTGAGTTGTAGAATGGACACGGGAGGAGGAGAGAGAGTGTATAGGGTGGCCATAAAGTATCACAAACCAGGTGGTTCTAAACATCAGCAATGTACTGTCTGGGTTCTGGAAGTGAAGTCCACGAGCACAGCACAGCTGGTTTGTTCCCTCCCGAGGATCTCTCCTGCCTCTGGGAGCCCGGGTGTTGGGGGTGGGCGGGAGGAAATGAGTGTTCGTTGTCTTGCACATGCATCGCCCCGATCTTCAATCTCACGTGAAGTTCTCCCTATTGGTCTTCACATGCTGTGGATGGACTTTGTAATTGTGATGGTCCATTCCTCTATCAGCTTTTCCAGGGGCAAAAAGAAGTTGCATTATTCGAATGCAGACAGACATTCTATGATTTCATAGAAGTCAATATTCTATGATTTCACAATGGGTCTCTAAGGGCCACTCCAATGCTGATATTCCATAGTTTTATCATAAGGAGTTAAGTTTCCTTAGGCTGGTTAAATGGAAAGAGACATCGTTTCTCTGAAAGTCAGCTAACATCTTTGAGGAGTGGCGTCACCGCGGAGCCTCAGTTTGCTTATCTATAAAACAGAATACGGCTTCACAAGGTGGAGGGAGTGAGGTGCTTTGAGAGATGTATAAACCTCTACAGAAACAAACCCGCAACCCCTGGGAAGGGTCTAGTAAAAGCTCCTAATCTTCCTCCGCCGCGCGGGGGAGGGGCGAGCACAGCCACAGAACAGGAGGGGGCGGGGCGAGGAGGTTAGCTTTGTTCTCGCCCCGCCCCGCCCCGCCCCGCCCCCACCCTAGATATCGCGAGAGGGCGGCCCGGGTTGGCTTTGGCGTCGGCGTCTCTCCCGCGCCGGAGCTCTAGGCCGGCGTCTCTCCGTGAGTCACGGAGAAAGTGCCTGCAGCAAGGGCGCGCGAAGGGCCGCCAGCCGCGCGGCGTTGCCTCTGGCGTCGGGGTCGTTGTGTCGTGACAACGACGCCGGGAGCCGTTTCCGAGACAGCAAGTGCGGTCGCGTTAGCCCCAGGCGGGCTCCGCGGCTGCTTGGCGGGTGCCTACGAGCGCCCGACGCTTCTCTTCGCGGACCCCACGCCAAGCAGCGACCCTGAGCCGACAGCCCGAGCGCCCGGCAATGGCGGCCTCGACGGCCTCGCACCGGCCCATCAAGGGGATCCTGAAGAACAAGACCTCTACGACTTCCTCTGCGGTGGCGTCGGCCGAACAGCCCCGCGGGAGTGTCGACGAGGAGCTGAGGTGAGAGCTGGGAGGGACGGCCTGGGCAGCCCCTCCTTCCCGGCCGGCGGCCTCGCGCTGCCGCCGTTGCCGACCCGACCCCGAACGCGGGCCGGCTCGGCTGCGAGGATGCGGCTCCGGCGCCGCTCGGGTCTCCTGCTCCGACTCGCCGCGGGGTAGAGTGATGTTAAAGAAGGCAGGACCAATGACGTTTACTGTGTTTCCTTTTTTTTTTTTTTTTTTTTAAGTAGATGTGCGTCTATAATGTTTTAAACAAATGTGATCTTTGAACTTCCTGTAATTGGGAACGTTAAAGAATCAAATTGAAGCTTCACAGTTCTGTTATGCTTTTATTATTTCTTAACCTCATCTCGAGGTTATCTAAAATGCTTCGATGTTTAAAGTGTTACTTTCTTACCTTGGAAACCTTTTAACATTTAGACTCAAGATAATAAGCTCCCATGAGCATTGTGCCACACCAGTAATTCCTGGTTTGTCGCTATTTCTGTACTAAGAAAACGAAAATTTTCCAAGTCCTTCATCTCTATTTGATGGAAAGCTATCTATTTCTAATTATTTTTGCATCTGCACCTCAGATTTTGCATGTTTCCTAGTTTTTGTGTTAAAGACCTGTCTAAGCTCAAAACAGTTCATAGATGATCAGCTTAATGCCCCAGTGATATTTTAGTTGCTCAAAAGTACACATGTAAAAAGATGTTGACCTGAAGTGTTGTGTGTAATAGTAATAGTTGGAAGCAGCCCAAAGTCCATTAGTAAGAACTGATGAAATATTAATTATGGTACATTTGTATAAATGGAACAATATACCAGTCTTTAAAAAAGAATGAGATTACTTTTGCACAGAATAAGATATCTAAGGTGCAAGACTCAGTGAAAAATAGCAGTGCAGTGTCTGTAATACAAAATATACTGCTGGGTTACAAGTGTTAAGAGGTCTTGAGTGTTAGCCTAAAAATGTAAGGCAGTGATTCTCAACCTTCCTAATGCCATGGCCCTTTAATACAGTTCCTCTGGGTCGCGACCCACAGGTTGAGAACCGTTGATGTAAAGACTCTACATTCTGGAAAGAAGGCTTCAGAAAAGTTATTGAAATCTCTAGTCATGAGACTCAAATGAGAATGTTCATGAAATCTTAGAATATTGGAACTAGGGCATTCCTGTATAAAAAGTCTAATTTAGGATTGTGAAAGGCGTTACTACTCGGTAGTGATAAATTTATAGAGACTCGGGCGGCGCCTGTGGCTCAGTGAGTAGGGTGCCGGCCCCATATACCCAGGGTGGCAGGTTCAAATCTGGCTCTGGCCAAACTCCAACAACAACAAAAAAATAGCAGGGCTTTGTGGCGGGCGCCTGTAATCCCAGCTACTCGGGAGGCTGAGGCAAGAGAATCACCTAAGCCCAAGAGCTGGAGGTTATTGTGAGCTGTGATGCACGGCACTCTACCGAGGGTGACAAAGTGAGACTCTGTCTCTTGGAAAAAAAAAAAAATTATAGAGACTCATCTTACCTTGAAGAAAAGGTAAGTAGGATCACAACTTAGAATTGTGGCCTTGGGGTTGGAAAGGACCTTAGTTTTGTCTAGCAACTCTTCCATGCTGGTGCTCTAGATCTTACATTCCCTCAGGCGTAATTTTCCAACTTCTATTTTGGATAAGCAACTGTAAGGGTTGAGAGGTTTCATGATTGTGGGTCATGGAATTAGAAAAGAGAATCTCACCAGAACATTATCTTTAGCAGGAAGACCAAGATAATTAAAAAGTAAATAAAATAACTAGAAGGCTGTAATGTAACTTAAGGTTTTTCAGCAGCAGGAATAATGCCACACTGGCATTTTTAAGCTGTTCTCCAGAGTGAGCTTCTTTTTGTCCAGATACCAGGTAGCTTAAACTTTTTTCCTGTATTTCTGTGCTTAATTTCTATTTATTCTCAACTTTGACCTGCTATAATGGCCCCTCTCTATAGGTTGGCTTCTAGCTCTCTCTCTATAATTGTCTGGGTTTACATTCAGATCTTTTCTGGAACAATAGACACACTAACTCAACTATAGGGCTGCTTCTACTGGAGGACATGCTGGCAGGGCAGATTCATTTAAGGACTTATGCAAGGTAGGTAACCGACTTGGCTAATAGAGAATTATATCTTCAGAGGAAGCTATCAAGCACTACTTTATTGAGGCTTATGATGTTTAGTGTCAAGTCATAAAAGGGATGGGCTTTTTCGTGATCATTGCTAATATGAATTTAAGCAAAGACATTAATGCTACTAGGAATACTGTATTGTTTTCATCTATTTTCTATTGCTTATAACAATACCTGAAACTGGGTGATTTATAAGAAACAACAAAATTGACTTCTTACAGTTCTAGAGGCTGGGAAAACCAAGGTCAAAGAAATGTGTCTGGTGAGTGTCTCCTTTTTGGTAGGGACTTTCTGTAGAGTCCCAAGGCAGCACAGGGCATCACACAGTAAGAGGGCTGAGCATAATAGGTCAGGTTTCTCCCCCTCTTATAAAGCCACCAGTTCTACTCTTATAACTCATTAATCCATAAATGGATAATCTATTCATGAGAGCAAAGCCCATGTGACCCAATCACCTTTTAAATGCTCTACCTTTCAACACTACCACATTGGGGATCAAGTTTCAACATGAATTTCAGAGGGGACAAACATTCAAACTATAAAAAATACACGTTATGGAGGTAGCGCCCACATACACTGAGGCTAGAGGTTCAAACACAGCCTGGACCAGCTAAAACAACAATGACAACTGCAACAACAACAACAAAAAATAGTTGGGCATTATGGTAGGTGCCTGTAGTCCCAGCTTCTTGGGAGGGTGAGGCAAGAGAATCCCTTAAGCCCAAGAGTTTGAGGTTGCTGTGAGCTGTGATACCATAGCATTCTACCCAGGGCAACAGCTTGAGACTGTCTCAAAAAAAAAATACACATTATTACTTGTGTTGCAGCTCATACAAATAATAGAGAAGTTAATCATAACGAAGGTTTGAACAGAAACGAAAGTTTGAACAGAAACAACAAAACTGGTTGGTTAAAAATAATAATACAGCACTTTTTATAAATAATAGTATTTTTTGTTTCAGTGATACCAAATTTATTTCATTCCAGCAAGAGAATTGAAAATAATAAAACTTAATTTTCCTTGTTATTAATTTGAAACTTTTTTTCTTGTGGTATTAAACACTGTGTGCATTAGTCAGAGGTTCTCCAAAGAAACAGAATGGACAGGATACATGAGGACTGTCCAGAAAGTATCCAGGCATGTGTGTCCCTGTGTTTCATGGTGCATGGCTGGATGTTTTCT